CAGGAGTGACAGGTAGATAACCAAAACATAGAGTTACCCTCAAGGCCCAGCATGGCTTCAGTCCCCAGAGTTTCATGGTCACCTCAGCACCAAGGGAGCATCACTTGGCATCACTCACCCTAATCTTCAGGATCTGGAGCTGCTGCCTGCAACCTAGCCTCAGCACTGGCCAGGCTCTTCTTCCTTCCTTCTGGGGAGAGGAAGGGTGTAGAAAGCCATGTGGGTTGTTGATGTGGTATTTGGATACACTCAACTGTGCTCTGGATCCTGAATGGCAAGAGTGCCGAGGGCTCATCCCCAATGATTATAGGGCTCATCAAGGGTGGCATACATGTTCAGGGAACAAACTGCTTCATGGCCTCACTTCAGTATATACCAAGAACAGGACAACACCAACATGTGGAGTCACATTTTAGAGCCACAATTAGAAACAAAGATCAGCAACTATCGTATGAGGGAGTTTATTTTGATGCTAGAATCCTCCAGCAACTGGACAAGACAGGACACTGGATGATCCAGTCTCAGCTAAGTTGCAGAGCCAGAAGCCAGACTTTCAAAACTGCAGGGGATGGCTGGTTGGCTACTCACTGGACGTTGTGCTCTGAAGTGTTTTTCAATCACAGGGCTATAATTACAGCTTTTAGAAGACAGGCTCTGGCCAGGGTCCAGGGTCCTTCATGAAACACTCCATCCCAGTGTTACTCCTAGGCCTCATTAGAACTTCTGAGATAGGCAGCTGTTACCATTCCCAGGCCTCAACATTTGTACCAGAAAGTGGCCTGAAGGTCTTAGCCTCAGTCTGACTCTCAGGGGAATGGTTCCTTAAAAAGTTAAACAACATAGACATGACACCCTTAGCCCAATTAACCAAAAGAAAGAAAGAGCAAATCCAAATTAACAAAGGGGAAACATCACAACACACACCAAAAAGGATCTATAACACACACTATTAAAAGAATGATTTGAAAACCTATACTCTATTAAATTTGAAAATATCAAAGAAATGGATAGATTTCTAAATTCATGGAAATCACCAACATTAAACCAAGAAGAGATCAATAGTTTAAACAAACTCATAACAAAATATGGAAATTGAAACAATGCAAAACCTCCCAACTAAAGAAAAAATATCCAGGGCCAGACGGATTCACAGCAGAATTTTACCAGATATTCAAAGAAGATCTACAACCAATACTACTTAAATTATCCCAAAAGATAGAAACAGAGGGAGAACTCCCAAACTCCTTTTAGGAAACCAATATCACTCTAATACAAAAAAACAGGTAGACACAACAACAAAAAAAGCTACAGGCCCATATCCTTAATGAACATAGATACAAAAATTCTCAATAAAATACTTGCAAAGCACAAACAGCCACACATCAAAAAAATCATCCAGCATGATCAAGTCGGCTTTATTCCAGAGATGCAGAGATGTTTCAATATGTGTAAGGCAATAAATGTAACAGATCATTATAAATGGACTAAAAAACAAAATCACATGGTCATCTCAATTGATGCAGAAAAGGCCTTTGACAAAATCCAACATATATTTATGATAAAAGTCCTAGAAGGAATGGAGGGAACATACCTCAACTTAATTAAAGCCATATACAACAAACCCATAGCCAACATCATTCTAAATGGAGAAAACCTGGAAGCATTCCCATTAAAATCAGGAACCAGACAAGGATGTCCACTATCTCCACTCCTTTTCAGTATAGTGCTTGAAATTCTCACTGGAACAATAACACAAGAGAAGAAAATTAAAGCAGTACTAATTGGAAATGAAGAGGTCAAATTATCTCTATTTGCAGATGATACAATCTTAGACATAAAAAATTCCAAAAATTCCACTGAAAACTTCTAGAAATGATCAACAGTTTCAGCAAAGTGGCAGGTTACAAAATCAGTCTACCAAATCAGTAGCTTTTCTATATATCAATAACAAGCAACTGGAGAAAGAGTTCATGGATACCCTCCCATTCACAACAGCCTCAAAAAATTAAAATATCTGGAATAAACCTAACCAAAGATTTAGAAAATTTTAAACCTTTGAAGAAAAAGATTGAGGAAGTCACAAGGAGTTGGAAAGATGTCCCATGCTCTTGGATTGGTAGAATTAATATTGTGAAAATGACCATCTTATCAAAAGCAATCTATAGATTCAATGCAATGCCAATCAAAATCCCCATGACATTTTTCACAGAATTTTAGAAAATCCTAAAATTCAAATTAAATGGCAAAAGACCCTGGATAGTTGAAGCAATGTTGAGCAAAAAGAGCAATGCTAGGGGGGGTTACCATACCAGATCTCAAACTATAATACAGAGCTATAATCACAAAAACAGCATGTAACTGGTGCAAAACCAGACAGGTAGATCAATGGAAAATAATTGAAGACCCAGACTTGAGTTCATGCAATTTCAGCCGCCTGATAATTGACAAAGGTGCCAAGAATACACACTGGAGGAAAAGACAGAATCTTCAACAAATGTTGCTGGCAAAACAGGATCTCCACCTGTAGAAGAATGAAATTAGACTATTATCTTTCATCCTGCAAAATGTCAACTCCAAATAGATCAAAGACATCAAAGTGAAACTTGAAACTCTGAAACCATTAGAAGACAACATAGGCATGCCATATTCTACAAGATATAGGTATAGGAAAGGACTGTCTAAACCAGACATCAGGAATTAAGATCAACAATCTGCAAGTGGGACCTCATTAAACTAAAAAGCTTCTCTACAGAAAAGAAATAACCAAGGAAGTGAAGAGGAAACCCACTGAGTGGGAGAAAAATCATCATCTGATAGAGAATTAATATCCAGAATATGCAAAGAACTCAAACCACAAAGAAACAAGACAAAAATGACCCAATAAAAAATGGGCTTGACATGAACAGAGAGTTCTTAAACAAAGAACCTGACCTGGAAGCCTCCTACCTCTAGACTAGCTCTTCATAGTCCTAGAGGACACTATACATGCTGATAATGGAGACGATCAATCAATGGTCCAACACCAGCTCTAAATCCTAATAACCACAACAATGACTGACACAACAAACTATAGTTGTGCAGCATGGCACTTTTATCTTGGGGGTAATCAACAGCTATCTAAATGGACTTAAATCTCTTTCAACGGGAGAGAATTCACATGTGTTACTGTAAACATAGTCAAATACATATGGCTAGAGAAGTCATAGATCCTGGAGAAAACCCTATCTATGTCACATCCCTAAACAAATATAATTTCTTTTTCAAATTTTCCACTATTTTATTTTATGTGTATGAGTGTATTGCATGCATGTAAGTGTACCTATGTCCCTGGACTTATAGACAGTTGTTAGCCATCTTATAGGTGCTGGGAACCAAACCCTGGTACTCTGAGAGAGCAGTCAGTGCTCTTAACCGCTGACCCATCTCTCCATCCTGACAAATGTAATTGCTTATTGTATACTAAATATGGGTCCTTATATTTAGAGACAAGTATACCATTCACCACTCATCAAAGAAGCTTTTTTGCAACAGATGGAGAGTATGACAGTTTCACAACTGGTGAAACACAGAGAATAAGTGTGAGATGCCCAGCCTTAAATCACACATATACAATGAAACCTTTACATGTAACACTCATGGAGCATGACAGAACAGGGGGTAGAGAGAATACTAATGCATCTCTCAGCTCTCACCAGTGAAGCTTCCTCATGCAACAGAGGGTGATGCGCACAGAATGTGATCAATGGCCAAAGTGTAGAGAATAAGAGCCTACCTTATTTTTTGAGGCAGAGTTTCTCATTGAACTTGGATGTAGCTGATTTGGCTAGGTTGGTTGGTCATTTGAGCTCCAGGGTTCTGCCTGTCTCTTCCCTGTAGCACTGGGATTATAGGTGCTCACAACATGCCAGGATTTTACATGCGTACTGGAGATTCAAATTTAGGTTCTCCTGGTTGTGCAGCAGGCACTCTTATCCACTGAGCCATCTCACCAAGCCCTCCAGTCTTTTGATGGTTTCAGAAACCCCCTATTTTCTTCTTTGCAAATTGAGCATCCCATCGTCCTCCTTCCTTAGCCTCTGGCAAATGCCATCATATATTTCTGTTTTGCTGTATTATAGCATTCTATGTTCCACTTTCTACATGAAGATTTAAACAATTTGTCATTATATGTTCAAGGTTCATCTGTGTTGGACCATGTACCTGACTTTCCTTCTTGTTAAAAGCTTGGTTAATAGTCCATGGTACATATAGCATACATGTGGTTGTTCCACTCTTCTGCCTATGGGCACAGTGTTGTTTCCAGTCTTGGATATTGTAAATATGGTTACAATGAGCATAGGTGGATAAACAAGCATGTGAAGTGAGGCCTTGCATTCAATTATCTTTTTGTATATTCAAGAAAGTACATCTGAGGGATGATATGCTAATTTGTGGCAATGTTCACATATTCAATTAGGTAAAAATACAAAGTACTAAGATTATTACTTATTGAAAACATTATATACATTTTTGCACAGATTACCTATGCTGTGAAAGTGTCACAGGCAACCCCCACTGACATCAAGCAGAAACTAACAGAAATACTAGGACTCAACAACTGCTAGGTGTTTCTCATTCATGTGTTTCAAAGGCAGAGGGTATAGGTTCTGGAGAGATGGGTCAGCAGTCCAGAGAACCAGCTGCTCTTGCAGAGAATCCGGGTTCAGTTCCCAACACCCACATTGTTTTTTAACAACTGTCTGTAGCTCCAGTTCCAGGGGATCTGATGGCTTCTGACATCTGAGGGCAATGCACACATTTGATGTATTTACATGCATGCAGAACACATCCATACACATAAAAATTAATAAAAAATAATCTTAAATGATAAAAGGAAGTGGGTATAACAAAGAGTGGGTTATGTGTTCATTTAACCTGGAGAGCACGTGCACTTGGCCATGGTTTACTGTTCAGAAGCCAGTGCATTGGCTCATTAACAGAACCAATCCTCTGCTCAGTGGCTAAATGTTTACTCTCTTCCTCACCAAAGATTTCAACAGGTTAGTGATCCGTTTTTCAGTACTGATTAGTAGCACAGGACTGACTGTGTCATAGTTGTTGGTCACCATCATCTGAATACAGTGACAGATTGGGTCATCATTCCATATAATTCTTGAGGCTGATACAATGCAATCCAAACAGTGCATGGCCACAAACAAACTCATGAGTAGCAGAATGGTCCAGGTGGCCCTTTGTTCTGGGGATGCTTTTAGAAAAGGCTGGAGCTATGAAGATGCTGAGCCTGTTTCTTATGTTTGTATAAGAGAGTCACCATGTACCCAGTGGAGAGGGCCATAAGACCTGTAAAGGACACATCCCGAAATATCCTGAATGTGGAAAATAAGTGCCTAATGATGTAATTCATGGGTAGAATAATGCAGGATTCTGTGACAAATATAAGGCCATGTGAGGTGAGGTTGTGGTTGGCTGCAGAGGAGAATGAGAAGTGAGCTCCAAAGGACATGTAGAAGACCCACAGTGTGAGAAGGGAGCACAGGCTGCACTGTGCAGGTTTGTGTTTGAATTTTGCTAAACAGGAGTTTCTGGGACTGAGGGTGACAGCCTGGAGGACACTCAGCAGGCAAGTGGCACAGAGGGAGGGGCCTCTAAAGAATCTGTGAAAGTAGATAAGGGAGTTGCATGTGATGTCATCCCAAACAACCTGAGATGGAAAAACATCAGCAGCTGTGGACCCCATGATCACAAACATCCCAAGGTGGGCGAGGGCCAAGAGAGCAATGACCGTGTCAGTGGGCCTGGGTCTGTTTTCAAGAAAGAACGTGAGAATGTGGAAGAGAAGGAGGATGGTGTTGGATGAGATCCGAATGCTGACTTCAGAGAGAAAGGTGTTTCATATGTCAGTAATTTCATAGATGTTGTTGGTTCTCATTTTATGAGACAAAGAACTACAGAGTGAATATCTCTGAGGAGAAAATAAAATTCTTTATGAAAATATTAAACTATGACCTGTTTTACCCAACACTGTTGCCTTTACAAAAATAGATGCGTCCATTCCAGTGTACCCTTCCCCCTCTTCAGTAGAATCAGTGTTCCATTACTTCTCAGTCATGGCTAGATTATATGTCCACTGCTGGGCTCCTTCAATACCTACGCTTTCCTATGTGGTAAAATTTCCTTATTATATAGAAACTCTACCTACTATTGTGTGATCTCAAATTGTTCTGGGTTAATGTCTTATCTGGTGTTTGTTTTGGTCATCTTGATTGTCAAATATAATAAATGCTCATAAATTTAGTTATTTCAAATTGGAGGTGTTGTAGTTTCATTTCTGCTGTGTGATAAAACACCCTGACCAACAGCAACAGAGGAGAGGAAAGGGGGTGTTGGCTTATAATTCCAGGTTACAGTCCATCAGTAAGGGGAAGTTAGGACAGGAATTCAAAGCAGCTAGCCACATCACATCCACAGTCAAGAGCATAGAAAAATAAACACAAATTGCTATTTGCTTCTGTCAGGCTAGTGTTCTTTCTTCTTACACAGTTCAGGACCCAGTCCATGTAGCGGGACCACGAGATTCAGGGTGGGTCTTCCTACCTCAATTAGCAATCAAGACAATACAGACATGTTCACAGGCCAACCTGATGTAGATAACTGCTCATCTGAAACTCTCTTCCCAGGTTATTCTAGGGTGTATCGAGATGACAGAATTAACCAGCACAGGAGGGTTGTCTAAAGTAGAGAATTTAAACAACTGCTAGTCTCAACAAGCTAGATGCACACATAGATGCATTGATTAGTGCTGCCTGTGTTATTCACTACCAGACCAGATCTTTCTTCTATATCAGTTGAGGAGATGTTGGTAAGTATGGACTCTAAGTGTGGATTTACACTTGTGATCTGCCAGTCTGTTGTGCATCCATGAGCAGTACATGAGCTGACCTCTGGTCATCTCATCTGTGAAATATGAAGAGTCCTATACTGATATCCCCCAGAGTTGCTATGTGCGAATGAAGACGAATCATAAGCACCAAATACTAAAGTGTTCTGGCCCATGACTGTCTCCATAAAGATGGTGTCTATTATTTTTTATCATGCAGTCCTTCATACATTTTACGTTGGAGAATTAATGTAGTTGTGTTAACAACAACCATTTCTTTCATTAACTAAAAGAGAGATAAAAGGACTGTCTCTGAGTCCTTCGGTACACCCACAGAGCTTAGATATCTGTTATCATGGCAGAATAACCAGCCAGCACTAGCCAAGTCCAGTTAGCAAATATTAGAAAGAATATTTGGATCAGGGTGATACGTAAGAAAGACTATTTGGATCAGGGTGATACGTAAACCACAATTAAAATAGCTTCAGGGCCATTCATAATAAGGTTTTATTTAAGGGGCTAGCATCAAACCCTGAAGCGTGGACCTCCAAATGAGTTCAAGCATTTATCTTTCCATGAAATAAGCAAAGCCATTTCTCCTTTCAGAAAATGCAACAATGCATACATTTTTTATAATAGTTCTTATAGAATTCATGTTTATGTTCTAATTCAAGCCTCTAAAACAGAAAGTACAAAGAGTTGTGTTTGCAATCGCATATAGAAAATTATGGTTGTAAGGTTAAAACATTTCACAATTATTCATACTATGTAGCTATACTTAATAGATTCTTAAGATTTCCAAAGAAAATGGACATGGTAAATATTCATGAGCATATTGTTATATCAGTTAATTCAGTACTGAAGTAGATTCTTGGCAAAAACATTGTGTGGATTTTCTTCAATTTTTAGTTGACATCGATTTATACTTAGAAATGGGAGACACTACTGTAGTTCAACACACCTATATATTGCATTCCTACTACATCAGGATTTCCATATTCTGAAACACTGACATTTCTGTGTGTTTGAAATCCTCAGTCCTTTGTATTCTTTTGAAATATAAGTTATTGCTGTAGAATATCCTTATACTACAGTGCTATAAAGCACCAGTCGCCCCACCACACTGCCTTGGTGTCCCTCATCCACCTTCTTTCTGACCTGTTCTCACTTTCACTTTCCAGCATTGAATGACCACTATTCTTCTATTTTTTGTGTTAATCTTTTTCCCAAGCAATGATCAGAAAAGTGATGTCTTTCTCTCCTGCCACTCAATGGTTGTGGTTTTCCCCCATGAGAAGCCTAGGAAAGACATTAATCAAAGATGTGAATGTGTCCAGTTTTGAAGGGCCATGCTTGATGACTAAGACATAGCCCTAACTCTTTACTCTATGACATTGACATACATATGCAGCATGCGTCTACTACATATATTTAATAAAAGGTAAAATACATTCTGATAAGATCTTAAAAGAATGATGTCAGATCTGTATTATGTCAGATCTTAAAATAATGTCAGATGCCACAATTAATGCTTGAAAATAGCTCTAAAGTTGCCTGCACCCACATCATTTCTGTGAGATACAAGTTTTCTGTATTTTTCTTTTTTGAGACAGGGCCTACCTGTAACACCAGCTGATCTGGACAATCTGTGTAGACCAGGCATTGGTCTCACTGAGATCCATCTGCCTCTGTCTCCTGAGTGCTGGCATTAAACGTATGTGCCACCTACCTGGCTAAGATCTTTACATGCTTAACATATTTTAAACACGAGATTGACAAGCATAGCAATATAAAACTCATAAAGTAACATATTTTAATAACTTGTGAGTCAAAGATGTTGGGCTCTGCCATTTTCAGTGTGATGTGGATCACTGAAACACTACAAACTTGGTTAAAAATGAGAAGATATGGAGCTGGAGAGGTAGCTCAGCAGTTAAGAGCATTGGCTGCTCTTGCAGAGGATCCGGTTTGGATTCCCAGCACCTATATGGTGACTAACAACCATCCCTAACTCCAGTTCCAGGGGATCTGATGCCCTCTTCTGACCCCCTCAGGCATTGCACTTACATACATGAAGGCAATACAGTCATACTCATAAAATTTTTAAAAATTAATGAAATAAAAAGAATAAGGAGGTGTACGCAGCATGGATTTAAATACTAACCAATGATTTATGAATTTATTTGATAGTTTCTTTGAAACCACTAGGCAGCCTTTTTTCTACAGGTTAAAAACCACAGTCGCAACAATGAAAAAAAAGTATAGCCCCTTTCTATAGAGAATGGTTTTCAAACAGATTCTGAAAGGCTCATAAGTACTAATTCACCTTCTCCGATGCAGTGCCAGCGGAGGTTGCAAAAATTCTCTCCCTATCCAGTTGTCCTCAGATTTGGATCATATATAGCTGTATCAGCAGTCATATATCTCAGGCAAATATGACCTAGGTTCATGTAGATATCACATATTATAAAGAAAGCCATATATCGACTTTGGTGCCAATGTATGACTTTTTATTAGCAAGCACTTTGAGGAGTAAGAGCCCTTCACTAAAACAAGGTAACTGAAACCGTGTAGCGTGTCTGTTACCAGTCAGGCTGCATCTGGCACAATATGGTCTAATAGATTCTGGGCAGAACAAGGTCTTTCTTCCATCAGTGGGGCGATCTAGGACATACTCCCCAAATGAGGGTCTTGGTAGTCTGGGTGTTGAAATGATCCTTGTTCGTATTTCACACAGTGAAGAGATCAAACTCCCTTTGGTATTCTGAATTCAAGGATTCACATCACAGGGAGCATAGCATCAGTTTGTGAAACACATGACACTTGAATAATTCACAACTGAGGAGATTAGGGAAACATTAAGTGGATATAGTAGAAAAACACATACCATATATGGAAAAAGAAGTGTCAAAGAAAATTTGCACATCCATTGGTTAGAGCAGATGGTGAAGACTGTAGACCTCAGGAGAAACATGGCAGTTAAAAGACCCTCTACAACACAGATTAAGGAACCAGTCTTGCTATACACTGTGTCATCCTGTTTTTACCCAAATCATTAGCAATTCTGATACATGGAATCATTAAATGTCCTCAGATGCTCAGGCAAGAATTCAGGTCTGAGGTCAGGACAGGAGCAGAGAGAACAACAGAGACGGCCCTCTGCAGACCCCTATGCAAGTTTGGGCTCTTGGGAATTTGGGATGGGCAGATTCTACAGTGAAGGTGGGAAAACAAGTCTACTCTGTCCTCTGCAGTATGAGCTTAATCATGCCTGTCTCTGAGCAATGAGATGGCACCCAGATAGTATGATTTATCCCCACTCACAATGCAAATCTGATAGACAGCACGACTTATACCACACTTATAACACACACCCAGACTTGCATACAGGAGAGGAGTACCTTGGTTTGTCATTACCTCAACAGCAGCATGTTACCATCACTGTCATCACTTCCTGTCTATTAAAGCAAAACTAGGCAGAAGGGTCTGGGAGGTGAGGTCTACCTGCTTTGTGTGGGTGGGTTTGGGATGTGGCTAAATTACCCAGCTCCTGCTTGTGGTACTATGTTTCTACACAGAAAAACAAGAACACTAGGGAGAAAGGACTGGTGCCCAGGCAAGACCAAGCCTTGACCAACCAGATGTCAGGGCTGTGCGCAGAACTGCTGGGAAGTTGCGGGAGTCCAGGACTCGGCTGAGCAAATACCTGGGGAATGTATGAGCTGATGACTGACAGTGAGATCTGATAAACAGCTGAGAATTGTCTAGCGTGTTTGTGAATTACAGATTGTGACGTACAGCTCAGGTCACACTTGTAACAATATTTACAAGATAGCAATTAAAAAATATCTGCTGAAGAACATCAGTAGTAAAGAAAGAATCATTTTAAATTAAAGAGGTGGAAGCCCAAGAGGAGGCGCAGCATCCCAAGCTCCATCTGTGAGTACTTGAACCCACAAAGTCCTACAGCAGAACCTGTTTCCTGATCTATCCTGAGGCTC